TTCTCCCTGCTCTAATTATTCTCACAGCACAATGCTGCAAAGTTTCCACATTAAAAGCCTTGCGGTCTTTTTTATAGTAGCCTTTTAATGCATTGTGTTTTATTGACAGTAACTTACCACTCATCAGGGTACAACAAAGGAAAAAAAAGCATTTATTTTATAAATTACCTTTAGCCAGCCAATTCTTAGCAACTTAACTTGTTAGTAATGGCCACGGCGTCTCCTACTCTTTCAAACTCTGACTTTTATCACCTGAATAATATATTGGGCCATTACTCTGCACTTAACAAAGTGCTTCTGTTTTTCATACTATGATTATATTTTGCTGGAATTACTGCAAACGTTTTTGCAACAATTTACGACTTGTGTTTGTAGAGTTTTATGCCGCTGTATTTGCATTTTCTACTAAAATAATACGTCAGAGTCATCTATTGAGCCACGAGGAAAGACGTCAACACTTTGAACACTGAGGAGACGCAGTCACACGTGCCCGCTCACCTGGCGTTTATAGACTCAATAGTCGAGTTTACTTTTGCAGTATGGCACGTCCTCTTCTCGCACTCACCTGAAGCAAGTGGGGAAAAAAATGAAATTAACTGAAGATGATGTTTGTCGAGTGGTATTTCAGAAGGCGCTCGCCTTCATTTATATTCAGCTCAGCTCAACACAAGCCCATTTCTCCCACATTCTTCCGAGTCTTCCTTTCTTTGCTTGTCCACATGGACCTTGAGGAAAAAAGCCTCTCTGCACCTAAATGTTGTTATTCTCCACATTACTGTCGAGGTATCCGCCGCTGACTGATGATGGATTACTCCTCAGCTGGTGCTTAGGGTTTTCCCTCAGTGCGTGACTTACAGCAACTCTGAGCCCTCACTGTTCGATCTGCTGCACCAACCATAGCCAGCTCTGCTCAGGGAGTCATACAGAGAAGCATTTTTTGCCTTATGTTAACTGGAAGATGAACAGTGAGAGAGAAGTCTTGTCCCTTAGGTTGAAGCACGTTTAAGTTGCAAAAGACTTCTTCATATGCTGGAGACCACAACTGAGATTCCGTTTGTCCTTGTGTGTCAACGGAGATGTTCACATTGTCTCACCTCTCAGGGACATTGTCGAGCAGGGCAGTGACTCACCACCACACAATAAGAGATAAATATTTTGGTATGAACAAGGTGGAGAACAGTGTCAAAGAAAATATTGCAATAAAATTTCAAGGGATTCAGTTACATATTTATGAGAAAAAGTGAAAGCAAAATTAACATCCATTAAAAATCTATACTGATACTAATTCTTTAGATTTTGACCTGGAAACAGGAATTATGTAAAGCCTGAGGTCCAAGCACAGGTTTCTATTAAAATAAGTCTTAGTCGTTTTTTTAAGGTAAAAATAAAAAATTTAAAATTTCAGTTGCAAGAGATATCATCTTATTTTTATATGTTGTTGACCAAACAGAAGTAACATGGCAATTATGACAGTATTTATTTATTTATTGTTTATTTTTTCAGACAAAGTTCAGGTGCTGTACAGGTTTAAAGAAGTATACAAATATTAATGTTTTTTAAGAATTATTAATGACCAATTTACCTCCATCTTCACATCGGTCAGAAAACAAACCAAATTTACTGGTGTAAAAAAAATGTCATCAAAAATGAAGTGTGAGAAGAAAGTTTTTTGATGAAATCAAACATTCATCATAGCAGCTTTTTTGCATTGTAAGATGAGTAGTAATAAGAATTGGGAAATCGAAATTAAGTAAAATGAGTAAGTAAAACTGCTGCACAGACAGTATATTAATCACGCCGACTCTGCTAAAAATTTTTTTTTTTTGGAAACAGCTCATTATTTTGTAGACAGTGACATTAAATGTGCCATCAAATTATCTACCGTCAATTTCAATTTCTGTGGTTTTGTGTCTAAACTGTTTGTTTAATTCAATTTCATCTACCATTCAATTTCTATGGTTTTGTGTCTAAACTGTTTGTTTAATTGCACATCCTCTTAAATTCAGAAGGCTTTGTAATTGAATTATCTGGTGTGAATAATGTATGAGATTATGTTGTAGATTACAGCTTCTGTCAGGTGATCACTGATCTGTAACAGATTACACTTGGAAAAGTAACATCCCCAGTCCTGGTTTCATCTTCCCACTCTTCGTTTTTAGTCTGAATGAAATTATGCAAATTCCAGGTGATTAAGTGGCTCAGTGGCATTCTCTCTCTTCTCCCAAGGATTCTGTTGGCTTCCAGCTTTGCCGTCACTCTTGTCAAGCATCTGTGTGAGCATGTCAAGAGCAAAGATGCTCAAGATGGGGAAAATATTTGTGACAAGTTCTGTGCTTGTATACACAGGCGCTAATTTTGCTCTCAAGACACAGAAGCTGCAGACCAAATTTGGCCCTGTGCCCGTTATTCAGGCAGCTTCTGAACCACCATTGCTTTTGGTGACAATATATTCTCCACCATTTGATTGTCATTTGATTTGCTCAGTTTTGTGTGAATATCACAGCCGGCAGCTTTGAATCACAGTCACATCTGGCAAAACTCACCACAAGGTAGCCTTGGAAAAAAGAACTCTTCTTCTTTTACCAAGGCTAGGTGAAAATATTTGTTTTCCCACTGTTGAAGACTGAAGTTTTTCTATATTTTCCACTGTCACTACATTTGTATTCAGCTGTCATTCGTGCTTTATCACTGAATGAGTAATTCAATCTATTTTTTTACTGTTTATCCATGTCTTTTAATGTTAATGAGAGGCTCTGCAGGATCCAAACATCTCTAATTTAGGTGCCATCCACCACTGTTCTCAGGGTCCTCAGCACGTGTTTCGGTTTGTTTTTGAGCCACGGCACATATTTACATTTGGATCTTGTTCATATTTCCAGTCATGTAGTGTATTTCTGTGTTTTTGATTCCTACATTCTCTTTGAGCAGACAGTATATCTGAAGGTCAGAGACAATCTAGTCCAACTGTAGACTGTCGTCTCTGAACATTGTCTCCCATGTTCTTTCACATTCCAGTTGAAATGACTTCTGAAACAATTCAGTGAAACTGAAATATAACTTTGCCTTACTGAACCTTCGCCTCTCTGTTTCAGACCCTCCGACTGTGGAACCAGTTTACACAGAGATGCGTCAAGGCCTGGGCAGACCCGTGGTGATGACCTGTCGGGTTTTACGAGCCCACCCCTCCCGTGTGCTGAGATTCGAGTGGCTTCTTTCCAACCGGTTGCTTCATGCGGGAGCCTTCGATGCACAGAAAGACGAGACAGAGTACACGATCCGTAACCTGAACAGAGATGGTTGGGGGGAGTACACCTGCAACGTCATCAATGAGGCCGGTGCAGGCAAATGTACATTCCAGGTCACAGGTGAGGTGTCATTTAGAATTGGAATTTGAACTTAAAAATAATCCTTCTTCAGCCTTCTGATGGTTACTGGCCCAAGTTTGTTTAACTTTATTGTAATACTTCTTGCTAAGTTCAATATTACGTGGTGAGCTACTATACTTCTTTCTTGCAAACACCTACTGTACACTGGCCTCTGGTGGCTGCTCCTTTATAGCCATTCTTGGTGCTCTATCCTGCTATTTAAGGAAACACTAAAAATGCTGTGACCCTGTTTAGTTCTGCTTTGCTTCTACACCATCTTCATATACATTAAACGCCTGTTTTTTATTACCGTTACAGTTTTCATAATAACTCTGTGCATGTCTCGAGGCCTTTTTACTTTGCTCTGCTTGGTAATTTACTGTTGTGAACAGCTGACATCATCTCTTCAAACATCGCTCCTTGTCAGATCATATTTTATGGTTCCATATTTCACTGCCTTTCTACACAATTAGTTCCACATAAAAGAAAGCACCAGTGTCGTCTCGTCAGACTAAACAATAATCAACCTAAAATAAGACACACATCAGTCGCTGCGTCTTTCCGGTTCACTCCTGCTTCTTCTTCCATCAAGAACACCAAGTGTCCATCATCTTCTTGGCTGTTATGACAGCCTTAAATTAGTTTGGCCACACCGAGTGACCACAGGAACTCTGGCCACGGTTTCAATCTCCCAGACCTCCATTACAGACAGGTGCTGCAGGGTCACAGGAGGAGCATTTGTCACTTTGATCCTCTGCCACTTATAGAGCGCTCATTTTTGAAACTGTCCATTTCGCTCTTTTTTTGTTGTTGTCCTATAATCGAACATATCTTAGCCGTCATTTTTTTTGTGTACTATATTCTCCCTTTTTCCCCACATTATCTGCAACTGAAACTTCATCATTTTTTTTTCTCTTTTTTTTTAAAAAACATTCCACCACGCCTCACCCTCTGCTGTATGTGAGAAATCTGTCTTGTCTGGTGTAACAGGTACAGCATAGAAACAGGAGTAGAAAGTAGCTGCAAGGTATTTGTTTTTCTGAACCGGTCTGGGGTTTTTCCCACTATTCCTCACCCTCCGCTCCCCTGGCTACCCTTTCATCTTCCACCCTGCCTTTCCTTGCTCTCTTGCCATTGCTGTATTCCTCTCCTCTTCCACCATCTGGCCTCTGTGGTTGCCAAAGCTACAGTATGGAGTCTCCTTTAGTAATCCCGCGAGTGCGTGAGCATGGTGCAGAAAATCTACTTTGGTTCCTCGCATCATCTAGGGAATCTGCCACATCCTTTTCCCTCAACTGCAGCTCATATTCTTCAAGATGTTTTTTTTTTTGAGTTTTTTGCCCCTCAAACACTCTGACATACCTAATACTCCGTGTGGCAGAAATATATTATCTTGTGTGGAGTAAGCAGATTTAAACTCCTTTCTTTGATGTGTGGGCCAACTTTAAAATAAAGCTCATGGAATTTTACCCACAACTTCAATCTATTTTTGTGACATTATGAAGCAAGGAGATGTTAGAGAGTCCGAGAGGGTATTTCCCTACCTCTGTTTCTCTTTCTCTCTCCTGAAGTTATAACTAGACCTGATGCAACATATTAGATAACAAAGTTACATACAAGACCAAAATTATAGATTAGAGTAATTTCAAATTATTCATTAATAAAGATGTAAAGATTCTTCCAAAGGTATAAAAAAGATATCTTCATTGTATTAATCTTTCAAAGAAGTACAAAGAAATTCAGTCAGACATTAACTTACTGTGTGATATGTATGACAAACTGTCAAATAGAATTACATATAACAATGTTATTGTCAATAATCACAGGGCATCTCCTGAAGCTCTGGAGGCAACTGCAGAATGAAAACAGTGAGAAGATGAGGAAAAGCGGGGTGTTGGAGGTGGGGGGGTGGAGGGGGAATAATAAACACATTAGTTGAGAATTCTGGCCTGAAGCCACCGTGGCTCAATTAAACTCACACTCACTCTTTTCACTTATCTTGCAGCCATATATGTTACAGTGTCGACGCGTACATTAAGAGGCAGCAATGGGCCGTTAATGGGTCACTATATTCCGATGATTCAAAGTATGTGTGCCAGCAGTAAATAAGAGTGCATGTGCATGGATGAACATGTGCAGACCCAGTGGGACATTTGTGCAAAACTGTGACTCGGCTACAGTTGGCGCACTCAGCCATTAAATTGTGCCCAAGGAGAGAGGCCGCATAGGGCTGTAATGTTTACTGCTGAGCTTTGGCTAATACGTTCTGTCATGGGAAACCCTTTTTTTTTTTCTTTTTTTTTTTGCAAACTGAAAAAATGTTTTGGCTGTCTTGGCCATCCAGGCTGCATTAGTTATGATGGAACGCCACGATATCGTCCGCAATCTAAACAAACATTAGTTTTGTCATCATAACTGTGTCATTAAGTACCCAAGGTACAATTATGGACTGTTTGGAGCCACAATGTAGTTCTCAAGAAAAGGTAGTGCTGCAGCAAAACCTTTTTCTCAACACCAGTGAGTTATAAACCTCATTAACAATGACCAATGACCAGTGACTTCAGCCCTGAATTCAATGGACTAAAGCATCCCGCCTACAAACCGGCATTGTCTACTCCCACCTGAATAGAAACCAATGTTCCTCCTTTTCGCTTCTATCAAAGAAACTGAGTTTCATTGACCAAGTCAGTAACTAAGGTCTGTGTCTGGACTTAACTACAGGTTAGAAAGAATGTTATACACAACAGCATTCAGTGCCTGGCAGATATGAAGAACAGCATCTGTTTTTAAGGTTGTTTATCACAGTACTAAGGATGAAATGCAGGAGTCACCGAGGGTCAGGACAAATAAATGACCACATCTTACAATGGTTTGGTCAGAAATGGAGGAGAAGAACCTCAGGTTAACAGATCATCTGTCTTTTTCTTACTTCTGTCCTTGGTTTTTCTTACTCCGTCCATTGATCTTAGCTCTTGTCCTCCTGCCATTTCCAATATTTTCTCTACTGTCTCTCATTAGCCTTCTGTCCAGTCTATCTCAGCCCAGCCTACAACATTATCTCTGAATTGTTTGACCTCTGTTTAATCCTGTACATTGTGGTCACCATCCAGACTTCCTAGCCTAGTGTCAGAGCTGGTCTCACTACTGTCTTGTAAACCTTCTCTTTTACTGCTGTGGTTTTTCTTTAGGTCGGACATCACAGCTAACAATCAGCCTTTTACCTACTCCACACTGCCTACACTCACTCACTCTGCTGTCTGCTGTTTTCTTCTTCTCTGGTATTAGACCGCAGGCGTTGCAGCCCATCAACCTACTGCTAGTCTCCTTGAATCTCCACTTTTCCACCGGCGTCATTCACGACCACATGTCTTTTCTTGCTCCTGATGCGTTCCCTTTCCTTTTACATACTGTGAATATCTTCACCTCCTGTTTCACTTGCTTCACATTCTCCTGACAGATCACAATAGAGATCACAAGAGAGAAACAAGCAAAGCACGTTTAGCAGTTGTTTTCAAATCAAATGAAAAATTGTTTTCTAAACTACTTTTTATATAAGATGTACATGTGAATATTTTTTTTACACATTCATGGATGCAATATAATTACAACTTTAAGTTAATAATGTGCTCATGTGAGCTAAGGCAAGTTTTCTCTTCAACATTTCTGTTAAAGATCAAATGACAACAAAGGTTCCACTCCCTATTCTAGAGGGACATAACCACGCAATTACCACCGAGCCTGCCGTTGTCTTGAATGTTTCCTCCTCATCCTCACTCTGCTGTTTTTGTGGTGCTACTAAGTTCGTCTCTGCCAGCTGTGCATCCATATGTGGGTGTCACTTCTGCAACAAAAGCCCCCTATCACACATCAGCCCAGTGGCAATAAAGCGAAGCTCGGCATATGGTGAAACAAAGTATTTTCCTAAAGAAGAAAAAAAATGTTCTTAGAGCCTTAAAATATGAAAAGGAACTCTGCAAACAAGGTCAGCTTCCTGCCTTGAGGAGGTTTCAGTGAGCTGTTATGAATCATTGCAATGGACGCACAGTTAAAAACAGTCTTCCTAAAAAAGATTTAGTTCTCTGTAACTTGTGTTTGATATCTTGTTCGAGGGCTGTCTTTTTTGAAGCACTGTGAGTGGGTTAGGTAATGCTGTTCACCACATATGCCCTAATATAAGAGAAAAGTGGTATTTATTTATTTACCTATTGTCATTTAATCATTTCCAGGGTTGAGCTATCAGTGAGGACGTGGTAGAGTACACCCAGGTTAATTTGACCAGTCAGGAAAGGTTGAATATAAGGTCATTTTATTATTTATATATCTGTTAATGTGTAGGTGTGTGGGCTTACAACGGGAGTCCTTATAATTTACTTTTCATTTATTGCCTTTCAATGATTTATTTAGTTTTGCCTTCGGTGTATTTCATCCAAAAGCATTTTCTTCTTCTTATCCGCCTCATTGTGCAGTATATTCTGCATGAACAGAACTGACACTCTCCAAACGTCCGCCTTATGTAACTTTTGCTGTACCACATGATGTTAGCACAGCTGGCTGTTTGGGACAAAAAGAATACCAAGTGGAATCCAGACAGCAGTTATACCACTTAACTGTACTGTACCACTTAAATATTCCATTTATTTATTTATTTGTGTGTTTCCTCCGTGTAGGTGTGTTGACCTGCAGCAGTTGAATGGTTGACTTGCTGAACCCAGAAAATATTCTCTTCAAATATAACCTCTTATACTGAATTTAAAAAACCAACAACAACAACATAATTCTACACTATATTATATTTTTCTCATCTTTCATTCATTTGTTTTAGTCTGGAAAAAGTATATAAATGAAACATTATTTAATATTAATTCAAATTAATTATTTGGTCATTCAAACAGTTGCACTTTTGTTTACTGTCCCTTAATAGGAGAAAGGGTTTTGTGAGTTGTGTACGGTCCCTAATGAGGGCAGAGGTTACATTATTATTAATGCCTGACAAATAGTAATAGCTTAAAAGCCTTGAGTTTTGACTATTCTAGTCCACCCATAATCTCATGTGTTGCAGACACAAGTTCAACAACCTGTCATGGAGGTGAATTACTATTCTTTGCATGAAAGGTTATCGTGTAAGCTCAGATATTTCTAAAGTACAACATTTTTCCAGCTCCTTTTTCCAGCTGTCAGAGATCAGCTCGTAGGCTGTGACTGGAAACCAAAGAACTGAGAGATTTATTCAGTTCAAACTGCATTTTGCCAGCAAATAAATCTTCAAAGATCCCATCAAAGTATATAAGTTAAAAGGAGATTTTTGTTAGTTGAAGCGAAGGAACATCCAGCGCACAGATAGGATTAGGATCGACCGTGGCTGGAGACGGACACGTTCTGTGTGATGTGTTTACATTCAGGAGACACAGCAGACTATGGCACACGCTTTGATTCTATGCCACAAACTACTTTTATGCCATATAACATGAAATGAAACTTTAATGACGCTAGTGGGAAAACTGGGTCAGAGAAGCAACAGGATTTTCCGAGGCTGAATATAAATAGAAAAATCTACTGTTAACAAATGAATCATTTACATGTTGACATTCACTCACCCTTGAATTTACATTCATGTCTGCCAGAGACGGTCTGAAACGTGCACAACACTGAAGGCTCTGCAGCGAAACGAAGTGCAACCCTGTTGTCATCATTGCAATCGGATGCAGGGAACCCTTTAATGAAACAATTATTTATTCAAAACCTCTCATCACTGTTTGTTAATGGTTACATTATATTTATATACTGTAGACATGATAAATTAATTAAAGGCATCAAGTGTCTTGCGCTCTCACTATTGGTTACACTGGCAACGGTAGGTTGAGGGATGTCATTACCACGAGATGGAGCTAAACTCTGAAGAGAGAGTAACTTTGAAGTTTTCTTGACTTCTAACACACACAGCATGGAGCCGTTTTTTAATGAAGTGCCTTCTCTCTGTTCCCCAGGAAAGGCCTACCCTCCTGAGTTCTACTACGATACTTACAGTCCTCTGTGGCAGAACAGACCCAGAGTCTATGGCTTCAAGCTGCAGTGGACTCAGATGAACCCCAACGCTGTGGACCGCATCGTTGCCTACAGACTGGGCATCAGACAGGTAGAATTAAGAGTTCTTTTTAGTGAGCACCACCCTCCTGCCTGCTGGTTTATTTGTCTTAGTGCTATGCAGCTGTTAGATCCATCACTCACTCCGTTGTACAGACGTCTGTTAGAGGAGAGCTACAGATTGACTGACCCTGTTACCTCAAATTTTCGGTACACGGCAGAACAACGGTCCAGTCTTTGATATTGGTCAGCCGAAGAATCAAAGTTGACTTTGTGCCATCTCACAGTTAAGTCCTTTGCTCCTGCCAAAACGGAGCCCTTGATGAAAATGTGTGCTCAGCGCGTTGCTCCCTGTTCTCTGACAATGCCAAAGCCTGCCTTTTGATTCATTGTCTGTCCACAGTTTGCAGTTTGTCGAGACCCTGAGTGAGGCCCTTGTGAGCCAAAGAGAATCACTAATCACCTGTCAGGGTCGGTAGGTTTTTGGTGAGGTTTGTTGTTTACACAAATTGCTCCTGATTCTGCTCTCCACCAGATGTTTAGCCGGCGTAGTGAACGGAAACCCTGCAGAGAGGAAGAGGAAGCACAGCTTGTGCTCCCCCTCTCGTCTGATAACTTCCAGTAAAGCAGATGACAGGCACACAGTATTGATGGATGTCATAGTTATGTTTGCTTTCTTTGGTAATCAATGGAAACTTTTTCTATTGCTGTTGCACAGTCATACCCTCACTTTTTTCTCTCTCTACTCTGGTGCTATTGGTACCAGTATTTACTAAGATCCATGGAAGACTTTATTTGACCTTTCTTTTAATATTACAAGGTTCACAGGCTTTCTCCTGGTAAGAAGTAAAAAAGATGTTTTTCAGTTGCCTAGAAAAAATAGTTACTGTTGGTGGGGAGATGGTTTGGACCACCGATCACTGAAGAGCCTGTTTGTTGTAAGTGTGTATTAATGTAGCACATGCCGCTGAGGCTGATCCGTCTTAGTTTGACTCAGAATTAGAGAGCACTGCTTGACAGTGTGTTTGCAGTGAGTGAATATAATTTTGTGTTTGTTTCACACAACCCCAAAGGATTTCAGGCCTGGAAACACGACCTAAACACAGAATGTTTCTACAACATGTTTCTGCAATGATTTTCATGTCAACTATCTCACTTGGTCTGCTCGGTAATAAATGACGTTGTGCTCCACGACCACACATACTGCATGTCTGTACTGAATTTCCATTATTCAGCTGCACCTAACATTCTAAACACGTTGTCCACACGTGTGTATGTGCAGAGCAGGAGCATCAGAGCTTGGTTTTCTGTAAGATTTACATTTTTCTACATCTGTGTATTGAACAAGAAACGTCACTACCCGAGTGTGAGTTAACGGGGGATCAATGTTAGAGCAAATTAATTTATTTCTGCCTTCTTGCTTTAATATCTCAAGAGGGTACACTGTGTGACCATTATTTTCTACCTGCAAGGCATAACAACCAATTTTCTATTGTCTCAGATAAAAGGGATTTATTATTATTCTGAGGTTGTAAAAAAGAAAAAAAAAAAAATCCAAACTTTTTGGAAGCTCTTGCCAGAGGCTACTGTATACACACTATGACTGATCAGGTTTGAGATTTTACCATTGAATATATTACATTTAAATTATGACTGCTGGAAAAATAAACAGTCAAGGCAGTGAGCAAGAGAAGAAGAACAAGACGAGTGGGACGCAGAGAGCGTCAGTTAAAAGATGGATGCCGGAGTCTAAAGCCACTTAGATTTTTGGCTGCCGTATGTTTATTGGTGTTTACCTTTTTTTTACACGTGGAAAATAATTATATTTCTCTTAATTGGTCTGAAAACTGAGGATCATTATATTTACGTATACTTTTATGACATTTTTGTTTGTTGGTGCAACGTACGGTTGAAAGGCCCAGGACCAACTCTCTCATCATGGTCTCTGATGGATTGTTATGGTTTTGTTTCTTCTGGCTGTTGTTGAGCTGGTGGATCTTATGTCACTGTAATGGATTGCTCCATGTTACCATCCAGTGCCCTCATGACAGACAGTCTCGTGAAGGGGAAATGGAAAAGGGCTTTGGCTGAAAGCCTTTTCACAGACAGGAATCACAAAACACAAATCTCTGCGTCTCACAGATGTGGCAGAATGCAGTGACACACACACACACACACACACACGCTCTTTATTTTTCTGATACTGTATCCTACTACTTGTCTCCAGGAGTCTGACTGGCTGCTTCACATCTCTCCATCTCACCGCAGCGTCTTTTGTGTCCTCCGCCCACTCCTCTTTTTCTTTTAGCTTTTTAAAGTGATCTGTCAATTCCGAGCATGCATTAATTGGTTCTGTACGAACCACAGGCAGTCAGTCTACTGTTAATGCATGCTTTTTTGTCATTAGACTTTGATCATCCCGCTATTTTCTTCTGATCTAGATCTCGTTTTGATCAATCCTGCAGAGGTTTCCGTAAGAGTGCTACGAACCGCCACTGCACTCAAGTGGAATTAAATCAATACATCAGTCTGTTTCTGTTGGGAAAACATGAAGAATGTAAGGTAGTGGGGGGTTAACAGGAACTCTAATTGAGGGTTTTGTGTCACATCACAATTAAAAGTACAACAAAAGTGCATGGTACATAATACACAAACATATAACACATAGTGGTTCGCAGCGTTAATCGAGATTTCATGTTTAATTTCATTTCACTTTATGAAAAATTATCCCTCTGATGCAGAGAAACTGAACTACATTCTACCCATTTGTGTTCAACTTGACTCTTGCCAAGACTAGCACTTCCAGCCTCCATCTGCTCGGAGCTTTGGGAGTCCCACACAAGAGTCAGTCACACAAAAAAAGGCGCACAACGACACAAACGTGTCCCACATTAAGTGTATCTCCATCTGACACAAGTCTCCAAAATAGATTCACAGCCCTACATACATCTACAAACCCTGTTGTCTGAGCCCGTGGTGGGAGAACACCATCAGAACATAAGGACAAGAAGAGATGTGCAGTGGGGATTGTGAAGAGTAATGCATTAAGATACAATGCTCCAGGACAATTCCTGAAGTAAATTGACAGGGCGCTCCCATTACAATATAGACTCAAATCAAATCTGTTCAGTATTAAATATTTCTTTTACCTCCGAGACCCACAGCATTTTCGTTTTTTATGGCAGCAAGTAATAAAAGCATTTTATTAATTCCGAGGCAGTAACTCTCAGATTAAATTAATGGTAAAGTACAAAAATACAATTTTTCTTTTTATTATTATTTTTTAATCAGAGCTCAACACACTAACACACTTGACTGCTTATGTTTTAAAACTAATCAAAAAGTCGCAGTGACTGTGTCGGACACCCACCTGTAAAGAGGCCCGAGCTGAGAGAAAGGTGTGCTGAAACAAATGGTGTGGTGTGCCCTGAACGCAGATACATAAACATGAGAAATGTCAGTGAAGCGTGTCCAACACCTGGTTTATGTCCTGTTCTCTGTCTGGACCTTAAATTAGATCTTTTTTTTTTTTATTTTTATGAAGTACAGAGGCTATAAAAGCTCACATAAAATTGCAGGTTTAATTTATGAAAAACCTGAATTGAATAAACTATAACGGCACCACGGAAACAAGATGAATGAAGTTTATTTTCCTCTAATTAAAAGGTAATTAACAAAAGACTTTAAAATCTGCTGATCAGTCTTTTGACTGTAAATGTAATTTGTTAGACAAAAAAAAAATGTGTCAAGATTTTGTCTGCAAGGAGCACCTACCAAAGGTGCTTTCTTTGCAAACTTTACTGCTCATTGATCAACTCTGTATCAATACATCAATCTGGTGTGTACGTTCACTGTGGGGTGTTCATCATACATGGACCATAAGACTGGATATTTTCTGCTTGTACAGTTTCATCCAGTTTTCGAGTAAAACTGGATTTAATTTAGTGACGTGACTGAATGTGATTAGTTCTTTTAATCGTCTTTATTAGAGGCTGTCTGGATAATTATTTCCATTCTTTATCAAATACCAACGTTTTTTATTAAGATTTAAGATTTATTAAGATTTCCATCATTTACTAGATGTGCACTATGTATGAATATAAATGTATTTATCTGTGCGTTACTCTTCGGCCGTCTACATTCACAAATAATAAACACTCACAGTGCAATTACAGTTATTCAACATTTAATGACTGTTTTGTTTTCAGGCCCATCAGCCGTTCGACTGTAGGCTGGTTACACCAGAGAAATATTTAAAAATGAGCTAACACTGTGTGTTCTCACTGTTAAAGTGCTGCAGTGCTGAAGATTCTCTGCTGCACTTTATTTTCTGGATGGCAAGTCACAGTTTAAATCTGTGCATCATTCTTACTGAATATGTCACAAATGTCTTCTTTTTTTTCTAATCAAAAATGCTTTACTTGTTGCTTTACTTGTGTCGCAGCGTGAACAAACAATAAATTGACACATGTGTTGATTAACTGCGAGCCTCTTTCAACAAAAGAAGAACTTGCCCAACTATAGACAGGGACACATATACCATCAGGAGCAGCAGCAGATAAAGCATTCTGTTTACCTGATGCGATGAAAAAAAAGGCTGTACCCTGTAATTGTACCACATTTGGTCCGTGAAAGTAATTACATAATTGGTATTGTTGTCATGCAACCTGCTTCGCACCTTCCTTCACACTCCCACAGCCTGTCTTTGGTAGTAACGCACTTCCTCTTCTTCTTTATCAAATAAGGAGAGACGTTGCCACTAATTGTGATGCAGAAACTGTAACCCGTCCCCTAAAACTAAATTCTCAAGGATAAGTGTAGCCTACTTTTCTGCAGTTTTCTCTGAGCAGCTGCAGCAACGAGGGGCCGTTTCTGTCCATTAGAATCTTGGACGTACGGTAGTGTATCAAGCATTGGCATTAAAAACATGAGAGCCGTGTCACTGTGTTGACACTCGTGTCTTTGTCCTATGGATTGTTGAATAAATGGACATACATTATCTTTCAGTTCAAGTCAAATCTGAAGAGAGTGATCCAACTGTGTTGTCCTTAATGTACTCCCCGGGAAGGTTTTTTTTAAATTGCAGACCGAAGCTTATTGAATGGAGGACAATTAATCAAGGCTTTTCTCTGCAAATATGAAAAGCACTTTGCTGCATGTTAATAACATCCTTTTGAATTGAGAGGCTGAGCGCCGCTTTAAAAGTGAGTGTGTCTAATGAGCAGATAGTTGCGAACAGTTGAAAGAGGTGTGAGTGTGGTTGTGTGTGTGCACCGACTTCTGTTTTTCCTCTAGTTTTTCTCTGGATGCCACTGATATACCTCTGATCACGGTTTGACAGATGAGCGGGAACATCGACTGCGGTGGTGAAATGAAAAGTCCTGATCCTCTGCTCAAACAATCACAACACTCCTTGTTCTGTGTGCTTTTCTATGCGGCGTGTCGTGATATTTGTACTAATGTTATTTCTATATGCACTGATAGACCAGTTGTCTTTTACAGCATCACATCATCTCAACGCACGTGATTTAGTTTGTTGTTAATATGAAGCATCTTTCTAAAGGAAGCTCTGATCAGACGTTAATGGTTCTTGGATGGGTTTTGGGTGCAACGCCAAGTGTCACATCTAATTCAGCACCGTGTCACATGACTGGAAGATTGCCAGGCAGATCTTTACCAATATAAACACACAGCAGCTGTGGCCCAATAGATGGACAGTAAATCCTGAGGTGTAAACTGCCAATGATCTGTGCAGATTTGAGACACACTGCAGGTGATTGTGAGGAGCTGATGACAGTGAACGTTCAGCCGATTAATGAAGAGTTGGCCAAACAGCCATCATAACTGTAGTAAAGATTTAAATAGGAAGCACAAAATCTATATAATCTAATAGGTATTGCATTTCTGTCAGAATATGTGAGGGTGTATTTAATAACCATGAAAACACAAATCTGTGTGTTATTTCAAAAGTGAAATATAGAATAAAAAATATGTTAATATTTGCCACAAGGTCCAGTTTAATGTAAATCACAATTTTCATACAATATATACAGTAAATATAGTATAACAGGGTCTGTCTACTCCATCACAGTTATAGGCTCTTTGGCCTGAAAATCCTTGAAAGTTCCAGTTATACGGTGTTAGCATTTAAATAAGTCGGTAACGCTCCACCACAAAAAATGTTTGATCTACAATAAATAATGCTGAAGGTCAGTTTAAAGTGTCTTTGTGTTTCTATATGCACAGTATGTCACAGTATTGAGTGTCTGGTGACTTTTAATGATCCTTCCTGCTTTTTCCTGCTATTATCCAGATGGGCTTACAGCGCTGGTGGGAGCAGGAAATCCCTGTGGATGGAACTATCAACAAAGGAGAGCTCATGACGCACAACCTGACGGAGCTGATAAAGCCCGAATCCTACGAAATGCGCCTCACCCCCATCACACGGTTCGGCGAGGGGGACTCCACCATCCGTATCGTCACCTACAGCGGTGAGTCGAACATTCTGTGGCTGTAAACTCTCTCCTCTGTCATCACTTTCAGCTCAACTTCAGCTCCGTACATTTGATTGGCGCTGGTGTTGTTGTCTGATGTCAGCTAATTTTGACAGGGTAACATCTGGATTATGAATCGAGTCCAATCTAATCAACCCTAGTATTAGTTACTACTGCAAGAAAATGAAAATATGATGTCTTTTTGAATGATGTGGAAGTATCAGATTCTTGTTTACAATTTTATTGGCCATCTCAGACTATTGAAAGTCAAAAGGTCAGAAACGATTCACTAGTTCAGAGAATTCTGTTGCATTCTGCATTTTTTTTTTTTTTTTTTTTTTTGTACTCAAGCCATGGATTCATTAGACTGACGTGTTCGCAGTTATGTAGATGATGATTGGCATGGGCCAATTATTTTCTAAATAGGTGTCAGAAAAGATGTTAAACTCCATATGATCCAGTGGCTTTTATTATGTTTATGTCATCAGAATGTAAACCTCAATCAACGTTCTTTTTTTCGTCCGCATTATTCATGCTCATTGTTAGATAACAGCCTGAATACAATGTCCGACACATTTCGTAGTAGTGTGAATACACCAGGGCACACAGTATCACCAAAGAAAATAACAACTGAAAATGAAAGAGGATGTTTACAGACTCTGGGTCGTGGAGCTGCTGATAAACTGCAGCTCAGTCCTCAGGTGGCCCTGCAGTGAGCGGTGCACACGTACGTGAGTTGTGCAGTCGGAGAAACAAACTGCTTGACATTTTCCTGTCTGTCACTGCCTGCTGAGCTCTTCCTGAGCAGTGCTGCTGCAGTTGTGAATAATTCACACTCACTGCAGCTCATCATGGCTGCTGGGAAAACATTTTGGGGAAAATAAGAGGTGGGGGGGGGGTCGGCTGACATAATTACTATTGGTTTGTGTTCCCTTTGCGCTTAGGTGATGAAGATGAAATGAATCAAAGCAAACCACGGTGAGGAGAATTTAGGTTAATTAGGACAGTGACGCACAGAGAGACAGAGATTGGGGGCAGCAACATTCTGAGTGAAGAGCGGAAATTCTCATGAAGAACGACGAAAAAAAAAAAGAGAGAGAAAAACAAAGGATAAAGAAAAGGCAGCGGTGAAGTGTGAATCTCCTGCCCAACAAGAGATTGGACTAATTATCACTCTAGGGCTGCTGTATTCTCCCCATCACTGCACCGTGTCACTGCAGCAGGCTAATGCAAGTGTGAGCCAAATCCACTGTGTCCTGTAGGGCGTCATGAGCGACACAAAATACAGTCATAGTTTGACAATCTTCGTCAAAACTGCACTTTGGCAGCATCAGTGCACGAGCAGTGAGGTGACAGAATAACTGTATTTACTGTTGTCCACTGTGTGCTGATTGACCATTACTGTGTTGGAGTGTCCTTCTCTCTGCGTTGTTTCACCTCCTGCACTTGTACGTGATTAAATAACAACTTTTATTCGCAACCTCACCATAATATTTCCACCACATTCCTCTGCCTTAAGTATTCTGCTGTTTACAAGTAAACAAGGCTCAAAACATAACGTCAACCAAATAGCAAAAAATATTTTGAAGGCGGAAAAAGTGTTTCCTTACATCCCAGCAATGTCAAAAAGGATTTCAGTGTGAGAGAGAAATATGGTTGTGAAATATGGTTGTGATAACAGTCTCAGCAGCAGCAACTGCTGTCTGCTTTCAGGGTAGGTTTTGAAAACTGGTCTCAAAACATGGCTGAATTAGGTGTAGCACTTGGCTAGTGTGGTCAAGCAGTCGGTAAATGGTCCAATGGTCTCAAAACACACATAAAACATTGAAAACAAATGAGCGGAGCCAGGGTTTATGAGTTATTGGTGAAATACATAATTCAGCGTCTTCACTTGACTCCAAATCCATAAAGAAATCTTTATGTGCATTGTTAAGGCTTTATGAGTGACATCAAACCAAAGCTCTTTAGCACCGACGGACACCAGTGAGGTTGTGGGATCAATTCCAGTCTGTGTGAGTCCACGTGTGCCTTCCAGGTGGCTTTGCCATCAATAAATAGATCCACCTGTACTGTGCTGCACGGCCTCATCTTCAATGGCTTAATCCTTTTCAGTGTCCTGGTGGGAGCTCAATCCCAGCAGGCAGTGGGTCAGTGTGTGGTACACTCTGGACAGTTCACCAGTGCATCTCTGGGCCACATACTGAGACCAGCTTTTATGGTGTCTGGAGAAAATGCAAAAGGGTACGAGCTGAACAATGTTGACTCTGTGTGACCCGTATTCGTGTGTGTGTGTGTTTTTTTTTTCTCAAATCAAGTATTTAGATTCAAGTGGTGTTTTTCTTTGACTAGTGTGTGAAAAATGCCCATATTCCACTTACCTAAAAGTGCAGGAAGCACGTGTACCACTGCATGAGTTTTTAGTGTTACTGTTTAGCACTACTGCCTTACAGAATGGAGGATGTCAGTGTGAATTAAACTCTAGCACTGCTCTGGCCAGCAGGTTAAAAGTCTCCATAATCCATTTAATCCTCAGGTGTGGATTGGAGTCTGTGTCCGTTCATTGAGTTCGCTTTTTGTTTGTAAACTGCACATTTATAGACATGCTGCGTCCTGTCTCTTGCCAGTGCTCGCTGTCTCTGTTTACCCTGTCCATGAAAGATAATGTTTGTAAAAACTTCATAATTAGGACAATGAAGCTGGATTAGCTGTTGGGGTAAACATTACCTTCCCACTCTGTCCAAACAGAAGGGACTCAATCTCACCAGAATGCCAATAGATCAAGAGATAATTGTGACGCACATAAAAATGCAGCTTTTTTTTCTGAGTTGCCAAGTTGACACAAAAGCAGTTTACAATGTCCCCAGCTGTAGGATAAAGGATGCTGTGTCTCCCAAAATCCCACAGACCCTTTAAAATTTTGCTGCAGTGACAAACCTGGCATCTGTTCACTGTTTCTCATAACACTCCTTCCCCTGGATTCCTCCTGGCAGGATGTTTTGGATGTTTAAAGCTCGGGATAATAACACACAGTGAAACAATGCAATAAGACACCCACCTCTCTGTCAAGTCTCACTTAGTCTCACATTAATTAGACGTTTCCCCCCCTAATGTTTTTTCTGCATTTAACAGGAAAGAGATGAGAGTGTTATCATTGAGTCACTGGTGATTCAGTGTAATTTGTCACCTAAAGGAAAGAACATGTGATGCAAAGAATAAATTGACTTAAATCTCAGGGAATAAATAATGAACACCATATATTCTGGTTAAATAGATTTATTTTATATATATATATATATATTGACCTAGAATTTTAAGAGTGATATCTGTTGACTTGGATCCAAATCCCCTGGGATTCTGAATAGCATTTAGCTGTTGAAGACAAGTGAAAGTTAACTGTTCCAACATCAGAAAAAAAAACAGTCTTATACCTGATATTCAGACCTTGAAAGAAGTGTTTCTGTGATGGTCACGGGCGTCACCTTGTTCATAGGGATCACAATTAGGACAATGACTTGCATTGACTGGCTGTTGGTTTTGTACTGTCAGCTGTAAAAGTAGAAGCCAGGAGCCTGACAGACAGGCACCTAACACAAGTGCAATTTCTCAGAGATCTCTAATCGCTTTGGGATCGGTTGTACTCCGTTTCATCCCAAGTCTAAGTTGAAATTTTTTTCTCTGTTCTGAAAGGGTGAAAATGTGTAGTGCAGTATTTGGAAGAAAAAAAAGAGAGATGTTTTTAAAGGCTTCAGAGCTTGCTGGAACATTCTCAGTCTCTGCAGTAATATCACTAGATTTCAAAAAGCATGATTAATGATGTTTTAAGGCAGTGCTGGATCTGATTATGTCTGATTCATACCTGATTTTTTTTTTTTATTTCAAAATGGCTCTCAGGAGATTGTACTCTCAATTGAGAAGAGGGCCTTTGTCTTCATTTGTCTTCAATCCATATACTCCACACGAGGCTTGGTCAAAGATTCTAGTATCAGGGTGTGTCTTAGATGACAATGATTTCCCAGGGTCTGTCAGAGAGTCTCTTGGTCTGACATAATTGTAGCCCCCAGTGTTATTTAACAAAAATCACAGGTTAAGGTAAATGACTGACCAACACACTGCTGATTACTGACCACACTCATCCTTAGAATCACTTTTGTTGCTGATATATAATCATATTATGTCTTGTCACAAAATATTAGTTCCCTTGTTTCCATGCCAACCTCACTCTAGTCATTTTGAGGCTATCACGATGATTTGATCAGATTTATTGATCTGAAACTAAACCTCCACAAAGATAAAATGTGTTTTCATTTGTCTAAAACTTTTTGACTTACCCTTGTATCATAGCAGCCATGCAAATTAGGAATAGATCTAGAATATCAATGTGTGAAGGATGCACAGCAGTGGTTTAGTAGCCTATGGGCCTCCTCTGTGCTCCACTTGATTTCTCGGCCGGCGTCGAGAGAGTTCTTTAAGAGAGAGACACATCCATCTGGACTGAGACTCAGTGAATTAGCCTCAGAAAGCTACAGGTACAAATAGATAAATATACATGTTTAACCAATCAAAGTGAAGACTGAAAGACTGGGAGCAGAGGTCAGGGGAGGTGGTGAGGTTCAGAAAGTGGAAGCAAAGGGGCGAGAGGGGAACGGCCACCGAGGTGGTCTTGAGTAATAGAACGATGTTTAGTCAGAAAAGTCAGCATCCTTATCACAAGTGACACATTTTTCTGTGCACTAACCCAGATGACTCTCTCCCTCTGCTGGCTCCTACAATGCAACAGTGTCAGGCAGTGTGGATTAGTGAGGAGACATTGAAAGATTCAGATGTTTGAAAATCACAGCAACATAAAAGAGATTATTCAAAGGGCTCACACAATGAGGACACACATCCTGTTTTTTTTCCACACTGGTGCCTCTCAGCCACAGCGAGGGTTCGGCTGCAGTGTTGCAGTTCACTGGATGTTTTGCACAAATTAATTGAAAAAGCAATAGTCTGCTCCCCCTTTGTGTCGTTCTTTGTGTTTGTCTATCTTTCCTCATCAACCTGAGTGCACAGTCTCTGGACACGAATTTCCAACAGGCACACAACAATGCAAACAAACACCGGTCGGACTTCAGCCTTTTTTATAAAAGGGACAGTTTCCTTCCCCCGCTTTTCACTACATGTTCTCTGTTGGTGGAATGATTTCTTATTACTCACTTTAATTGGTTGGATTAAAATCAATTCCCTCTATGAACAACAAGGTTTCATAAATCACAGAGCAACATAGTTTTGTGGTTAGGCTGACGTATTGCATCTATTCAGCCGGTCGGCAATCGATCATGAAAATGCCCATGAATCTTCTTGGCAGGTTAAATGGTATTTACTCTGCAAAAAGTGAAGCGAGGGCTAACTGACTTGTTGCTACCCTTGACCTTCCTGTGTTTTCTGCAGCACTGTCCTGCTAAATGAACAATTAGAAAACACCGAACCATGTGGGAAAAATGTGTATACATTTAATTAAGACAGCTGCAGATCTTTAAAAAAAATCCTCTTTTATCGTGCTGCAGCTTGACTTTTCTGTACTAACGGCCGTCTCTGCTCTTTCTCTTTCACAGCTCCCATCAACCCTCATCTCAGTAAGTAGTATTTAATATTTCTGTTAGTTTTTGTGTGTGAGAAGAACAGGAAGACTCACAGCAGCAGTTCATGCCGCAGAGGTCTTAAACTGTTGATTCTCTGCCTGCCAGTCACTGTGCCTGTGTGGGTAAATGTGCATGCTGTGTCTTTTCCTCCCATTAATCACACATTTAATTACTTAAATTTCAATAACACATTTTTGCCAGAAACAAATGTACACCTTATCAGGTGTGAAGCTTTGTACTGTGGATACTTTGGTTCCTCCAAACACGACCTACATCTTAAATAGATACTTATCATCATCATTTTTATTCAAAGCCCCAGAGGAAACCATTTAAAATACAAGCTTTTTATTCAAGTCTCCTTTTACTTACCTTTCCTTCCCTTTGCTCCCATCTCCCCCGGGCACAGGATGTGAAAACATTTAACTTAACTCACAGTAGATGGGACATCAGCACCAGGAGCTAGACCTCTATTTAAATCTGCTTCCCTGTGCAGAGACGAGTCAAGTGTTTGTAACCTGGCCCCTCACTCCTCTTTACCTCTCCACCAACTCCTTTTTCTCTCATTCACTGCCTTCTTCCATCCCTCGGTCCATCCACCCACACTTCACCTCTGTCTCCGTTACCTCCGTTACCTGAGAGAACGATACTCCTCTCAAGGTCACTCCTCCAAACTGATCCCAGCTCCATTTGAATAAATCAATAAATATTTATCATAAAACACGCCCAAATCTTGAATCTGAATTCAGTGTTTTGAGGACAAAGCACAGCAGCATCACGTCCTCTGGTCAGGAGTTTTTCTTTGTTGTTCCTGTTCTAAATGCAGCTTTCTGACACTGTTGATCCTCCCTCAACCCCTTCATTAAAGTGAGAGGGTTGGCTCCCAAAGTGTGCTGCTTCACACCATTCATTAGTATGTTCACTTTCAGACATCCCCCTGCATGTGACCCATCATAACCTCACACTGAAGTAACAATTACTCCTTTTTTCACGAGGCGTGTGCAATGACAGCACGTCCCTTCCTCTCTGCATACTACTGTACAGTAGTTAAAAAATAACTGATTCTCAAGGGGGCGTTCAGAGCAACAGAGGAGAAGGGGGAGTGAATATGGGGCCAGCCATGACAGGAAAGGTTAGGCTGTGGTCGTGAACTTAAAATCCCATTTGTGCACTGTTACTGAACAGGAGAGTTCCACTGCAGCTTCGAAGAGGAGCCCATCTGTATGTTCACCCAGGACAAGAACGATGATTTTGATTGGACTCGGCACAGCGCCGCGACCCGTGACACCAAGTACACACCAAACACAGGGCCGAGCGGCGATCGCAGCGGTTCGAAGCAGGGTGAGCATTCATTTAGCTGCTGTGCTGCTAAGTGCTTGGCTGCTTGTTTTAAAGGAGGTCATTCATTATCTAACGCCAATTTATCTTGAACAGCTGTGTTCAGTTTTTATCATGTACATGTAAAAACTTGAACACACACACACATATATATATATTGAAATTCATTGTACAGTAACAATTAAGAGATTCTAGAAATTTGAGATTATTATTAGTAGTAGTATTAGTATAATATTTATCATCCAAATAAACCCCTGTATTTTCAAGTTTGTTTTAATTTAGGTCAAAGTCACAAAATTGTTACACAGTTGCAACATTTATTCAATAATACACTGTTGTTTGTGTTATAAATTCAGCCCACAATAATTTAAGGAGGAAACATTACCACATTTACTTCCCCACTGTTTAATGCAATAATTATATTTATGATACATTCACCAGACCTCTGCACAGCGCTAACAGCGTTCCTGCCTGAGCTGAGCTCCCAGTGGAAGCTTCTCTGTCAGTAATCATATCAACCCAAGCCCCTTTTTATTGATAATTATAATTGGCCTGAACTGTTTTTTATAATGAATTAGCATCCCGCTAAGTTAAATTAGCCTTTATCTCTTTCATAAGGATGATTTTAAACTTACTTCGCTGTTTATAATAGAGAATTTATTGCCATGTTTTTCCACGGAAACACTTTTTTTTCGTAGGAAACTATTGTTCAGTTATGTAAAACCAGTGCAGTGAAAGAGTTTAGATCTGAAGTCTCCAAACAAGACACATCCGGGACCGAGTGAAGGTCAGCTGATTAATTCCTTGCATGAGTCATTGTTTAATTTAGTAATTTGCTGGAGCCACAAGTTCAAATCATTCCTTAATACAGCTGCGTCCTTGTGACACCAATATTGATGAGCACTTTGTGTAAACAAAGAGTCGGACCAAATCAAATAAGTCTGAATCAGTCTTGGAAGACTTTGGACGATCTCAAGAGCACTGCATTGTTCTAACGATTGTCATCAGAAAAGTGGGCGAAAAAATCTACTCTAATTAAAACTTCATCTACAGTACTGTGTTTACTATCCCTTCTCTGCACTGTGGCCTTCTCTTTAGAGACATTAGCAGTTCCCAATCCTAACCTGTGGATTGGGAATTCTACTTTAATTTCATTGAACTTTTCTTTTTTCATGGTAGAGCCCCTGTGATACATTTTTAGTCAATTTTTTTCACAATTTTAATTTCTGACCCTTAAAACCCTCGGAACCAAAATATATTTTCTCTGAACTGTGATATATTTGTCCTCACTTCATGCAAGACTGGATCAGAGTCGGACTGGAACAGAAAACGGCTTGGCTAAACTGTAATGTTGGTTAATTTCATTCCCCGTCTGTGAAACTATGAAGCTCAGTCTTGACATGGGTTTGCATTAATTCTTTTTTACAGCATCATCTGGGTTGTGTTCAGTATCCCTGACTGTACTCTGTGTTTCCAGGTTTCTACATGTACATTGAGACATCGCGGCCGCGGAAGGAAGGAGACCAGGCTCGGCTCATCAGTCCATTTTTCAACGTTGCACCAAAAAACCCTTACGGCATCACCAACCCACCTGCCTACTGCTTTGGATTCTTCTACCACATGTATGGAAAACACATAGGTGAGGAACACACCTCAATGATCCTTTGATGAATGTCTGTGATGTGTGGTGAAATAGATTTCCCCTAATTAGTGTGGTGTAGTAGATGAATAGATGAAAAATTGCTCTCATTATTTCTAGAATCTGCCTCTGTTGTTCTGCATTTGCTTAGTCAAGCAGCTAATACATATTTAAGAGAATTTAAATAAAGCTGATGTCGTCTTGGCAATTCTTTCCTAAATAAAGGAAGTGCATTTCAATATGTGTGCATCTAAACAGTCAATTAGGTAAAAACTATGACAAATTTAAAGCAACTAGAAAAGCCCCGCTGTCTTTGTCTGCTGGAACTTCACAGTCCCTGTCAATAAAAACGCACAAATGAGATTCTGGAAATTCAGGTCCCACAGTGTCCGTGACCCATTGGGTTTTTTTTTTTTTTTTTGGTGGGCGCGTGTTAAAAGCAGCCAGCCCAGGGACAATTAAAAAAAAAAAAAAAAATCAATGGCACTAATTTTTACAAGGAACATTTATTATATTTTATCCAGATAATGTCTATGTAAATTGACACATTGTTAAATTTAATGCAGAAATGTTGTGAAATGCACAGAAAAAAATCAAGCACAAACTGGTGCAAATGATCGTGATCTTTGGCTGTTTGGAGTCTGCAGAGGGATGTACAGTAGTTAACTGATGCCTGGTCTAAACAAGTCATTACAGGCAGTTCATTCTGTGAACAATGACTGGATTTTATTCTTGTTTGTTAAGAAGAGCTAGAAGAGAGTGAGGCACAACGTGAGCGTGGTGATCGCCTTTTATTAGTGACTGCTCTGCTGCTGAGCAGGTCCATAAGGCTTTAAGGCTCTGAAGACTTCTGTAGTCAGTAGTCATTAACTAAACACAGAAAAACAAAATAAAAATCTGCTTTTTATTGAAATACTCTGCTGTATGAGGTCACAAAGTGAACCGAGAGAGTTGATCTGAACCTATGATTGACACATGCAAATAGTACAACTGACACTTGTGACAGTCTTGAGATTACACTCCCTTTTTTATTTGTTCCTGAAAAAAATTAATTAAAATTTTCATCATTTTTCCCTGAAAGTAAACTAACTCTACAATAAAAAAGCTATAAATTGCTTTCTGATCAAATCTAAATTTCCCCTTAATTTATATCAGTTTGATAACCTTAAGTTCAACAAAATAGGGACATTTTATTTATTTTGCTCCAGTAACTACATGATAGCAAAGTGTTCAATGATGAATCCCTGTACTGTACACAACGTGTTGACATTTCCCTTTATTATTTCTTGATCTGTGTGGAATAAAGCCTTTAATCCTGTTTTAGGAACAGTAGCGTGATTAAAAACTCACAGTGCCAAAAAACAAATTAAGATTCCACACTGTAGCTGATTTGCTGGGCTGAAAGTAAGTGAATTCATACGCTCCAACAATTCTTTTGAAAATAGCTATTTCTGGATCGATGAAAGGGCTTGGAAAGGATGGGCCGTTTTGTTAAATGCATGCTTTAAAATGTTTTTGGTTTTTTTTAGAAATGTAGCAACCATTTCAGATCCAAAAACACATAATATTGTGAAAGATTGTACCCTGAAGTTTCTTCATTTGAGCAAAAATAAAAAATAGCATACCTCTGTTTTTATTTATCGTGGTCTCCTGCAGATCTGAGTTGTTTCAACTGAGCACCAATTGAGAGCTGAATGTATCCTCCGCTGCATTCGTGGATGAAAGCAAAGTGGATGAATATGTTTCAAGATGGATGAAAATGTGTGTGAATAGGAGAGGGACAGGAAAAAAATCATGCTGATTGGTTTTGCTTCCAGTCTAATGGAGGAATTCATCTGCAGATATTAGAAAATCTGCTCAGTTTAATGCACTCAGGCTCCTGGTAGACCAGTGCAGCTCTCGCACTCACGTCTTCACTGCTGCTCATCAACTGTCGATGTATCTGCAGGCTCTGAATCATTAGGCACTGTTGTATTGTCTTCTGGATTTCCTGTTAGTTACCACAGTCCAATCCCATTTAGCCATTATTTGGGTTCATCTCACACACCCAAAAGGCACAAACACAGATTACTGGCCACACAGGGAGTCCACTACTGTATGTGGGAGAATGTACTTTTAGATAAGTCAGAGGCAGCAGTTGATTTTGTAAAAAAAAAAAAAAAAAAAAAAAAGAATATATATGTAGGAGAGAAATTTAGGAGCATCGTTACCATCCATTTTCTCTGGATATCTTTTTTTACTTTGTTCTAATAGATGAACTATTTAAGAACTACTTTATTGTGGTTCAGTGCAAAAACCACAAGAGGAAGTCTCTGTAAAACTCATTTGCTCTAAAGCAGTGAGTCAGAACAAGGAAAAGAAGAACTGAACAGTAAAGCAGTCACTTTATTGACAGGATCATTGTTTTCTCACTGTTTCCTCAGTTACAAAACCCAGTCACAGTGGCACCAGGGTAAAAGGAAAATAAATAATGACTTAAGCTGGACAATAAAACGCACACAGAATTCAAATATAAAAGCAGACATTGTAAATGGACTATGTGACGACGCGTGCCTGTGGTTTAAAGCTCATTAAACGGTAACGTTGAACTGTACGGCAGTGGAGTCGCAGCAGCCTGGTAAACTCTACTCATCTCCCTTGATGAAATGTTTTACGATGAGCATTTGGCTTCATTTAGCCCGGTTTTCTGGTGAGACTTTGGAGTGTATCAGCTCTGCCTCAGCCCTCCACCTGCTCCACTCTAAACTTCTGCTGGACCTGCTGTTCACTCAGTGGCCACCGAGCTTCTCTCTCTCTCTCTCTCTCTCTCTGTTTGTCTCCCTATCTCTCTTCAAAAATTTGAAAATCTTTTAAGATTTGTGTCTATTATATTGAAATGAATGTTTACTGTGTTCAGTAGTTTAAAATCTAAAGCAGAACTTTATTGAAGTACTTTTCAGTCGCCCTTAGCAGAGAGCGTCATGAGTGGATTTCACCAGGTGGGGGAGAGGATCTAAACATCTGGAGTGATGGAGAAAATGTATCTGTGTAGGTGTTGGAGGACAACGCAGCGGGGAGATGAGAGCTCCTCCGGCTCCCTGCTGAGGTTGAGTAGGCCATGACATTTCCAATTTGTTCAAATTGATCGCCAGCCAGACCCTCTCTCCGCTGCCCTCCCCCTCCGTGGTGAAGCCCCGGCCCAGACTGTGGAGTGTTATGATGAATAGGCTAAAAGTCAAGGGCTTGAAACCCAGCTCAGATCCTCTAAAGCTCTGCTCCATTTAGTATTCTGTCAATCCAGCCAAGACGGATATTTACCCCTGAGCTGAGCAGTGCTGGTTTGTGATGTTCTGTATCCAAATTGTGCGTTTTTGTTTTTTTTCTTCTTCCTGTTTTATTCATCATAGGAGTTTCTTTTTAATTGCTTTAAGTATTTAAATACTATTTCATATTCAGGCATAATAAACGAGGGCCTTTTCTTAAATTCTAAAAGTGTGATGCTCTATGGGATTCTGCTGTTGAAGTCACAGCCAAGTTATGGCAGAGCAGCGCTAAAGGCCAGAATCTGTCGATAAGGAGTTTTGCCTTCCACACAGTGGCTCAGCCTCAGTCGGACTCCTGGGTGTTTGACGTAGCGGGGGGAATACCTGAGACAAGGTCACACTTAATTACTGGAGCACACATCAAAGTTTGCCTTCAGAGGCCGTGTCGCATTTGTTTATAGGATTACGTCTCCAGCAGAGCGCGCCAACCAAGTCTGTTTTAAGTCCGACCTTCTAAGAAGCAATAAAGCCTTCCTTTCATTAGAAACGAGAGCACCGCTGCTCCTCAGTCCAGTCCTGCTACATAATTGAATTTTCCAGGAGCCACTCGTTGATTTTTAATAGACGTGCACTCAAATCATTTTTTGATTCCACTTCATTTCAAAAATGTACTACAAATGAAATTGTACGCCATGATAAGAATGTGATGAAAGTGACGGAACCACCCACGTCCCGACATAACCAGCCAGTTCCACCTGAATCCTCAACACTTGATCGCTCCATGAAACCGCAGGTCATGTTCTGTGCAGGAGCTCATCGCTCACCGGAGGCTGGGCCATTGTTGAGGAGAGTGTGCACTGTGCTGATGGAAAGGTGACTTGTGGCACGGTGCCTTTCAAAGATGTGTTTAAGGAGCCTATCAGAAACCAAGGTTACTGTCTTCGCCTGTGTCAAGTTTTGTTTCTCTCGCAACAGAAATCTCTGGACTTTAGAGCTCAGGTCCCACTGTGCTTCATCTGAAGCAATGTTACTTTATCAGAGCCGCGATGTGTCATTGCAGGAGAGTTTAAAATAGAGTCAGAGTTTCGACCAATTGTGGGTCATTATAAAATGAACATGATGTACAAGATAAGGAACAATACATTTACATGCAGACAGCTGAGAAAAAAGCCTCCCATCAATATGTCTGCTGATGAACCTACATGACCAAAGTCATTGCACTGCACTGCAATGTTAACATAGTGCTTAGAAGCAACATTTCACCCCCCCCATCCCCCCCACCCCCCCACACACACACACCCACCTTGGAACCTTTCCAGAGCATCACATATTATATGGAGGCAGCCGAGGAGTAAGCTGTAAGTCAACATTTCAAAGGTGTTACCGTACATTGAGAACTGGCTGGAGGCCAAACTGCTAACGCTATAGAATCTACACATCAGTGTCGCTGCAGAAATCTCCACCGAAACAGAGTCAAAAAATGTTACCAAGACCTACTTTGGTTAGCAGATCTTAGGTGTCAATGATTATGATTATTATTGTTGTTGTTGTTTTATGAAGCTTTTCTTTACTGTAAATGTTAGATTCAGGTTTTTTTTTTTTTCATTTATTTATTTTTTTATTTCAGGAACACTAAATGCGTTTCTGAAACAAAAAGGTCAAACGACCTCTGATGGACCGGTGTGGTCTCTAACTGGGAACCAAGGTGACCGATGGAAACAGGCCAAGGTCAGCATTCATCCAACATCATCTTTTCAGGTAAGACCAAGAACAAAGAGGTCAGCTAGCTTTTTCAGTACTGGTCTGGTCTTTTATCAGAAAGCAATATATCGACATATATGTATTTCCTTATTTACATATATATTACATTCTACATGCATTAATAAGTGTGTTTTGGGCGTTCCTTTCCTTCACGCACACACACCCTTGATGCCCCAGATTACTGGACACTATAAATTCACCACAGGTTTGAGTAGCTGTTTGTCCCTGAATGTCCATTGTGCAGACCCCCACCGTAGCCCAGTGGATTGGCCGCAGTGACCCTGAACAGAATTAAGCAGTAGAGAGTATATGCAGGAGTTTACAGTATCTGCTGATATATGAAGCACAGAATGAGTTTCTTTAGGGACTGCAATCAAAAGTTCCTATATGAAGAAATAGATGGCATCTATACGCAGTGTTTGCTGTAAAAAAAAAAAAAAAAAAAGCAATATCTCTCTGGCTTAGACATCGGAACGTCTAATCTTTATAAGTGTCAAATATAGGAGTGCAATATTTTCCATCCTTTTTACTGCTGCAGTGAAGTACTTGTAGCTTCAGCTGCACTCCTTTTATTTGTTCTCAGCCACTCGCATGTTTGGCATCTAACTGTTTCTCCTCAAGTATTTTATTTTTGAATTTCATTTTATTAAAAACTGAAACAAACACTTGACACCAGCTGTTACTTTTTATTATGGGTAATTAGTTAAACCCTCAGTGCTTACTTTTCTCTTGCAGGAGAGATCATTTTTATTTCCTGATCCATGCGGGCTGTACCCAAAACATTTTTTTGTTTCTGTAGGTGGTACTGGAAGGTGTCAGGGGACCAGGCATCGAAGGAGACATCGCTGTTGATGATGTCACACTCGAGGAAGGGGAATGTCGAGATCCACCACCCAGTGAGTAGGACCACTCGTGCCACGTTTCTCACCTGATCTTTCCACCCTTCCCTCTCATTTAGCCTTTCTGTACATGGCCAACTTTTACAGGATTCTAATCTCTGTTTTGGGGGAAAAAAAGAGTGGTCGTCATAGCAACAATGTAAACACATCACATGAATGATAGTCATGCTGGCAGAGCGGAGCAGTGTAATTGCACTTTTAGAGTGAACAAAAGGAAAAAGAGAAAACAGGACAGAAATCTCCCAATAATGTTTGGCAGACAAACATTATTGAGTGATTTATTTCCCATCACCTCTGACTGGAAAACATTATTTCTGGATCCTTTTTCAACTTTTTTTTGCAGTGTAACTCACTCCAGGTGACTTAGTCTTTCATTTGCCTTGTAATTAGTTGAGAATAAGAAGGCCTTTTAAAGAGAGTCATTGTCAATGAACCCAATATGAATAATGAATTATTTATATTACTGCAAGGTTATTACTTCAGGTATTTTCCATTAGGACTGGCTGCGATTCAACACCACAGCATTTATTATTTTTGAGTTATGAAAATGTCCTCTGACTGGTAGAGACAGACCGTAATGTTAGGAATTCTACAATTGAATTTTGATGGCCTTACCATGATGAGAAGGACATTTAGACAGTTCTGATGAGACATGAGTCTTGACTATAAAAAATGACATACTGTAGTTTTGGCTTGAGAGCTGTTCTGTATGATACTGTAGTTTTGGCTTGAGAGCTGTTGTTCAAATGACCAGGCTAAAGTGATCTACCTACAATAAAAAAGGCTAAAAATAAATTTACTCATATGAACTTTTTATCAAATCCAAAAATATATATACTAATATGTTTTTGATAAAGGTTTGCTGAACACAAAGAGCAGTTTCCAGTTTCTTGAAGATAGATACATAAATACAATATTTATTTTTCAACCAGGTGGAATCATACAGTATTTTACTAATGAAACATGGTGCTCTAGAGGGGAAGGATGTGATTACATTAACAGAGTATTATGGTGTCTCAGACTATGTAGGACGTTGCCTCAGTTTCTAAGGGACCACACTTAAGTCTGGCCACAGTAAAACATTACATACTTACCAAAGCTGCACACACACTCCACTCTCTGTTTGTGTGTGGATGATGTATTTCTATTATATTGAATTCTAGTATTAATATAGAATTGAATTTTTTATTTTTATCCGCCACAGATCCCGGGTCTAAGGCATCATCAACTGCCTTCCATATATGGCTGCTATGCATCACCTTGGTGATGACTCTTCTAGAAGGTCAAAGGTGACCCTTCTCTCATCATCACAGAGGCGAATATTCAGACCACACCGTCTGTGAGCTATCCTCGGCATCCAATCACCAAAGATTCATGCATCCTGAAAGCAGCAGAGTCCTCTGACAGACCACGGAGGGATCGGAATAAATAAAGAGAAAACAATTGTGATAAAAAAAAGTATGACACTTAAAGTAATAAAGAAGATGTGCTAATTTTTTAAAGAGACCTCTTTTACAGAAAAAAAACTCCGTGGTGCAGGACTTGGGACGTCTTCACGAGCACAAAGACAGCGGGGCAGTGAGTAAACTGGACTTCAGTGAAAGAGTTTACAAGCACCGACGGAGTAGAAGTTTGTAAAGCACAAGAACTCATTTATGAAGTTAAGAAAATTCATTTGGGAGGTGGTAAAACACAGACACAGCCGACTTTTTTCCCTGCTTTTAAACTCAATCTGAGTCAGACCTTTCTCTGTGTGTTTTGATCCCAATTTTCTTGCACCAGATGCAAATCCCCGATACACGGTTTTCACTGCAGCCCTCGTCACACTTGGTGTTCCTATTTTTCTCTGCTTGGTGCTTTACTGTAAAAATCATTGACCCTGGCAACTTTTAGTTCTGTCTGCTTACTCCCTCTGTAGCTGCCAATGTATCTCTTAACACTGTGCTCACGAGTCCAAGTGGCCAAACGACAGTATGGCGGCAGAACAAGAATCAGTTCAGGTGTAGACAGCTGGACTGGAGGGCAGAAAAGGAGTTCAAAGTGAAGAGCTGGAATGAATGAAAGTTTTGGGAACAAGGGCAAAGAAAAGTAGAATGGAGGGAGAGGAAAAACAGGCAGAGGGAAGAGAAGGTTGAGATCAGTAAGGCCTGACTCAAACATCCGGTCAGCGGTCCACCTGTGGAACCGAAGCCACTTTACTTTCTGCCATGAAAAGAAGTGCCTTCAGAATATAAACCTAATCGTGAGCCTGGGCGTTAATCGACATCGAACACATCTTTCTTCATGTTTCCTCTGATGGGCTATTTTCTACGTTTCTTTTGCCCCACAAGTGCTGATGGGAGGACATGCCTGCTCAGAGGGAGTATCGGGATTGTACAACTCGTGGAGTTGCCTCCTGGTGGAACAGTTGCCTGTGTGTGTGTGCGTTTGAGTGTAAGTGTGAGTGTGTACGAATAAGGTATTGTAATTGTGTGAGTGTGTGAGAGTGTGTGTGGGTGGGTGCCTGTGTGTGTGCATGCACCTAAGCCTATGCCTTTGTGTACATCAGTGAGAGGGCAGCTGACCCCAAGCACAGGTTTGGAAACGGTGTGGATTTACGAACAGTGGCAACAGTGACGGTGTGGCTCCGGAGCGTTTGTTGCTAAAGATCATGCAGGAGGATTAAGATGCTTCGTTTGACTCGATTCCCAAACTTGGATGTTCATTTTTTTAGGAAAATGAAAAAGAAAAAGGAAGGACTGCTGAATCAAACGTTGTGATGTACAGGGAGGAGAGTAGCAATTTTTGGACTGCAGGCTCTTCATTCGGGTGACTCGCCTCACCCTCCGTGCTCTACCATTTATAAGGAACAATTCCAGAATAAAAGATAATAATGACCACAATAATAGTCATGATATTTTATTATTCTAGCGAGAATGTTTCTCTGCTTTTACACAAACTGTGAAGATTGACTGTGGAAAAATCTACCTGAGACCATAATCTTAACCAGCGGGGTTTTTAAAAATGTATTGTAAAAAAGAGAAAATAAGAAGATTCCGTACATTGTTGGTTATGACAGATGTTTTGAGGACTTGTGTCTTGTTTCTTATCTTTTCTGTTGGAGAAGACTTTGATTCCTTTCTCTTCTTGTTGTCTCCCTTTGCATCGCTGAAGTATCAAAGCTGACGGAAGCATACGACGTAAAACAATTTGGTCAATGTATAGCTTGTAAATGTTAAAGAAGCTCTATACAAAGGTTTATGATTAATGTTTTTTCGTGGACGTACAGGAAGCACAACACACCGTACAGTTCAATATGAAGCTCATTTTATACTTTTCCACATGTCTGACCTACTCCTACAAATTCAGGCTTATCTTCGCTCCAAAACAAATCCACCGTGTTCATTTCAGTTACATGTTAGAATCCTGTTGAATCATACTGAAACAGACAAAGACACACATCGAAGCCAGTCGTCAGTGTCGGCTTATCTCCTGGTGTTGCTGTTGTTCAGCATACTGTACGCAGCCTCTTCAGCAGAAGCCTGGGTTTGTGTGAGTGGGCCGTGTACATGTGTATGCATATGTTGTGTACAATAGGTGTGAGAAGAAGCCGTCACGTGTACAAGAGGATAAATATGTGGAGCAAAGCGATAGACAGAGCAGAGCGATAGACATTTCAGGGCGTCTTTATGTTCAGTATCATTCAGACATTTCTCCATTGTTTGTTATCAGTAACAGCAGGATTGGGTTGAACGTAAGTGGAGTCTTGGTGAGAATTGACTTCCCCGACATTATGGGCATCAATCATGTTGCTGTATCCTTCAGTTGTACAGGAAATCATAACAAAGAGCCAAAGTGGTCTTAACTGTGACAGTTAGCGTACAGTACAACAGTATGACTCGTGCTTTTTTTCCCTAAACATCCATTGTGGAAATTTGTAACATATGAGCATAAAGAATGACAAGAAAATACTGACATTCGTTCATGAAAATAATGTTTTTTTGGTTTTTCTTCCAAAGGCAAATTTCAGACCTAAAAAGAATCGTCCTCAACTATTCTTCTTGCAAGATTTCTTTTTCCTAAACAAGTATCAAATTGTTGCTTTATTATAACTGCCTGAGTTTAAAGCGTACAAACCAACTCTAAGCTATATTCTTTCTAAAGTACAAAGTAAATCACTACAGTATTTTGTCATTTACTTTATATTCAAATCCTCCTGAAATGTTGTAAACTCTCTTTAAACAGTTTTATGTTCGACCATAGAAGGCTATGATGCTGGGTACATCTCTGCAAAAACCGTTATGTGCTTTTCGAAAAGGTTTGAGAAGTTTCCAAGTCTAACAACTTATTGTTGTTGGAGTAATTTAGCAAAACATTACCATTAACCATGCACGAGTACAAAAATGGTTTTTAATCAAACACAAACACATTTAGAAGTTAACTTTTTCAACAAACTCAAAAAAGACAAACTCATTATGAGAGTAACAACTAGCAAACTAGTATAAGAGAGTACTGATCCTGGTAGAACCCCGCCCTGGGATCGGCTCCAGCCCCCATGGTCCTGCGTATGAATAAGTTGTAGATGATACAGTGGATGGATGGTTAGGGTTAGGGTGTTCAGGTCATAGGTTAATAGGTCAGCATCAGCCCACAGTCATTGGTTTTGTGACTCAATAACAGCATCCACTCACTCTGGTGTGCAGTGCCGTCTTTAATCAAAAAAAAACAAACAAAAACAGACTCACTCTTTCTGTTGCACCTCCCATAAGGTTCGTCTGCCCGAACGAAACACAGCGTTGACGTCATGTCTGACAGTTGTTGTTTTAATCCTCCAGTCATTTCTAGGGGCTCTATATTGAGATGGTGTTGTATTGGCTTGCGTCATGTTTATACCCATCCATAAAGTACGTATACATGAGGTGAGCAACGCGTTGACAGCTTTCGATGTGATGCAACTGAAGCCAACAGAGTGCGTCCTAATACTGCAGAGTCATGAAGAGTTAAAGCAATATAATTGCCATACATTTTAGGGCTCTGAGTAATACTTAGAAAATAGAATTGTTTTCTTCTTAAGCGTGTGAACATAAACAACAGTCAGTTTTATTGCACCAGAGATGCAATAACTATTACATTTCTGCAAGGAGGGATCCAGGATCAAGGCAGACTAAATAATGTTTGTTTGTTTGTTTGTTTGTTTTTTGCTTCCTGAGTCTATGATGCATTTGAAAAATACTCTTTTAATAGTACATATATTAATATGATTTAAACTGAAGAGGAACTTGCATACTATACATATAAATATAGTGTAAGTACTAGAATGGTAAAGAAAACAAATGTATGCACATGGTGCATTTTCACATATTGTTTCTGCATTGCTGCATGGATTTATTATTGTGGCGGGTTTACCCAGTGTACAGTACATGATGTGCCGTTAACCTGGAGTTGGTGTGAGATTTAGTTTATTGGCTACAGACCAGATTTCATTGCTGTAAGCTGCATCTCAGATGTTTAATTTAATTAAAATGATCCTAGGCCAGTATTAGAAAAAAAGGTACTCTAAACAGCTGCTTGCCTTAAAATCAGCAAGTTCAATCATTGTAATATTTAGCTGTCAAAAATATTCCTGCAAGAATGTGAAGGTCTTTTATGGTTTGTGCGTTTAAACACAGGCAGTTACCTCCCGTGATGTAGCAAACAGTCTTTTCAGTGATTAGGAGTTTGGAAATAACTGTACATTTCTCTCCTTCTTCTTTTATTTTCTGCACTCACTCATTTCCTACTGAAATGAACAGTCCTAACAGTTCTCTGAAACATTCTCATCTTTGGTTTTCAACCTAAAAGGGCTCTGTCACTCGGTGCCATTTGTCACAAAAATAATCCACCTTTTCTACTAATGTGTTATAATTCCAGCTGGTAGCTGCAGCTGTTAGCATACACACCAGGCAAAGCTGAGGCCCCAGGTTGGAGAAAGCTCTGCAGTTGTATTCCACCTGTTTTAAAAGGTTAGGCATAAATGAATCAAACTGTCACATTAACCCTGGAATTTAAAATTTTTTTAATTTTTTTTTTCATTCATCCTTAGTATTTTTCTCTTGCAGCCTATTTTTCCCCTCCCACATGACTAGGCAGTATAGTGAGTGACTTGTCGGCAGGAGGCTGACGGGGGGTCTCACTAAATAACTGGGAAAGGCAGACACATTTCAGAGATCTCATTTTACTCTGTCAGGTAAGAAGCAGTATGTCACAATTTGATACCCTGGCTGCTCAGTCTGACAACTTTACCACAGGGAGAACTGCCACCTCCTGCTCTCCACTCTCTCTGCTGTTGGACTGAATCTGACTACTTCTCCATGGCATTCTCTCCCCCGTCCCCTTCCCCCTCCTTCTGCCCTTTTTCTTCATTCACCTGCTGTGATACGCCACCACAGGCCAGGCCAGGAGACTTTAGCTCCCATTGTCCATGTCTACTTAATTACCATCAGTGCAGCTGGCGGTTTGCAGCATCATAAAAATGAAGATGATCCACCCTCACCTTCACCCTCACCCGACCACCTCACCCTCCTGTAAAGACCTGTGGATATTCTGAGAAAGTGAAGCTGGGGGAGAGCACGCAGTGTGTCGGTAATGTTATTTATCTTGTTCTGTGCTGACTCCCTGTAATGATGACCTGCCACTCTTCTCTGTTCTGTGCTTTATATTTATATACCGTATGATCAGGCTTCTTCTTCTTCTTCTTCTTTTTCTTTCTTTTTTTTTTTACTGTATTTCTTTGAATTTGTCGCCCATTTTTGTGCCATACCTGCAACTAATGAAAAAATAAAGAAAAGGAATATTTTATAAGCTGAGTCAAGTGCATGCTCTACTTCGCTTGGACTACAAGATAATCAATGTGGGAACAGAGTATCCTATCACATTTCATCTTCCCCGTGCTCTTCTGGTGTCTGTGCTCTGCTTGTACTTGACACTTTTCGTCCCTCAGTTTTTCAAAAGGAAATTCAGTGTATTCCCACAGCAGTCACACAGCTCTGACTCAAAGGCCAGAAAACAAAAGCCTTAGTGTTGTGCAAAGTGTTCTTTTGACAGTACTCCCTAGATTGTGCTTCTTCTGTAGCACTGGCTCGCTCTCTCTTCTTTCCTCTCAGGTGTATAAGAGCGGCGAAATGACTGTGGCCAGAAAAGGACTTGTGAGGGAGAGGCAGAATGACAGTGGTGTGCACAGGGACTTGAAAGTCATTCAAAGGTGAGCAAGAAGCAGCCTCTAACTAAGACAGACACACAGGGTGTCAAACTGTGCCCAAGTTATACTGGAGCCCGAAACAACTTTTTTCCACATTGCAGTTCGAGGTAAATTGCTTCTCAGGCCTCATTAACGTGTTTACCCAGCAGTCACTTGTAGGTCACGAAATCCCCTCATGAAAAAGTGTCGGTGTAAACACAGGACACAGCAATAATGGCTTCCTTTTTGTTTTCCTAAACATCAGTACGGAACAATGATCTTGAAAATCAATTTCCTGTTATTAATCACAAAAAAATCTATTACTATTTCTGCTGAAAGTGTTTGAAGTTTTGATCAGTTTAATTACACGCTATCTGTGACTAATCAACGTTCCTTAAAATGAGCAAATGATTAGCTGAAGCTAATCCAGTGTTTTACAACCTTGGGGTCACGACCCCTTATGGGATCACCTGGGATACAAATTGGGTTGCCTAAAATGTCTAGTAATTGAAAAAACGCTAACTGATAATATTTTTTCAACTAATTACTATTATTAATATAAGTATTATAAACATTTCAACAGTGTTCATTAAAAAGACCAGCACAACAAGGAGGTGTGAACCACTGGGCTGATCTAATCCCAGTTGACCTGAAGAATATTTGCCCTGCACTGATACGTTGTTTACTTTACTGCTAGTCAAACTACTGTGAATAAACATGTGTTTTTGTTCTGTTGGTTGAGGTAAACCAGTGTTCTTACCTTTAGAATAATTAGATTTTTTCCAGCTTTGTGTTGCACCGTTTAACTTGTTTTTTTGTCTTTTTTTTCTGAGTTGCTGCTTTTATTCACTGCAAGGAAGGGTTGTTTAGACAAAGTACAGGTTAAGAGGATGTTTTGGGTTCTGTATTATTGCATGTCAGGGGTACAATAGAATATAAAAGGACATATTTACTCATATGTAAATGTACAAGGACTCAATTTTCATAAATAGATATAGTTAAGAAAATAATAAGCGCCTTTTTAAATCTTGAAATTTGAAAACCGAGCCATGGTCACTGATTCATTCACATCTTGTCTTTACTGGTTTGTCAGATGTTTTTTGTTGGCTGCCATCATCTTTTCTTCTTCTCTTCTCTTCTTCAGTCTCAAGTGTTCTGTTGAGACACGTATTCTAATCCCAGACATAAACAGAGGCTGTCCACTTGTGATTAAACCTGAGAAGGCCAAGTGTAGAGAGGACCACAGGATGGAAACTGTGAGGTTAAACTGGTGTGTTGTTAAACTGTAATACAGAGTGCAGTTTGATTTAAAAAAAAAATGAAAACCTGTTTTTACTTTTTTAAGGCTGCTTATGATTAATGTCAAAAAAAAGTTGCTAAATAATTTGAATGAAACTGAGACATTGAGATGGAATATTTAAATCAACTAAAGGCTGTTGCATCTTTAACCTACAGAGAAACGATATGTTCTCTATTTACCAGCTGGGAAAGTAAGGAAAATGATGCATATATTTTATATTATGTATAATTGGAATGGGAGCATTTTCAGTACACAAACCTTAAAACTGCAAATAGTGTGCTAAAAGTAACGTTGCAGTGCTTTAAAACCAGTCTAAAGTTTGCTTCTGGCCTTTATGATCTTACTTTATCCAGAGCGCCCCCTGTGAAGTGTGACCAGCCTCCTTTTAGTCCGGATAATAAGTTAGTCCCATAAAAAATTCAGATTGTTTCAGCAGCTGATAACCCCTGGTAGCTGTTGGCCTTTAAAATCCTTAGCACATTCAATTACCCCTGCTGCATGTCCCACTCGTCCACTCCCTTATCTCCTCTCTCCTCTGTCTCACCCAGTCAGAGGTTGCCCTGTAAAACCACATTAGAATGCACTCCTGGTATTCCAGCCACTTAACAATGCCATTTTACATTAAATTCTATTCCCATTTCTCCTTGCCATGCACTGCACCAGCACTTTGTTTACAGGGCCGCTCACAGCTTTCTTGTCGGCTGCTAAAATGTCATGGAATGCTAATAATACGCTAATGCTCCCGTGGCAGTGCTGCGTGCATCGCCATTAAGGCAAACATCCCATAATCACATCTGTGGGCCGCTGCAGCATTCACACACATCTATATAATACCACACCTTATTTTTGTAGATTGTTTGTTCTGAAATGTGGACTTGTTTTTGCTGGGATCAGATTTTAAACAGATTGTGTGTCAAATGAAAACCTTCAAAAAATACAATAATAAATATATCAAGGCGTGTGGCTGCAGGCAGTTTAAGTTATTAGCTGCAACACGTCCTGTTGCCTCAGAGCTTTGAAAATGATTGTTTTAAACTATAAAAAAAAAGTTTTCGCTCCAGATTAAAGTTGTCTGATGAACAACAACAACAAAAAAACTACAAAAACAGAACAAAGAGGAGTTTCTGTGTGATTTCCATCCCTTGCACCTGTTAAATGTAAAACTATCTGCATCTTTAGTCACTCGGCAACTGGCCATCTCTACATGATGAGCATGAGTGATTTGTCTCTCCGTGTAGATATGAGCTCCTCTCACTCAACCCAAGGCTCGGGGACATCGACATGTCCTCTTGTGGGTGTTGCATAAATTAATCCCTCTCATGTGCTGCCATCTGAGATGTGTTGATGCAAAACTTCAGGATGAATAATTTATCTGTATGCCCTTCGGAAACCAGCTCCCGCACTCAGGTGCCATAAACAAGAAGTTCTCATCACAGACCTGTGCCTGCTGGCAAACACTCACCCATCTGTGTAGCCTGATAAGAGGCCACAACAGGAGACAAAGATATGCTGCGGCCACTAAAGAGCAGCAGACAAGAGGAAAGCTCTGCTTGTGGGCAGCGGCCAGTTCCAGTGTATTTATTTGCTGCTGTGCTGCAGCAGGAGTTCTGCTCTGTAACGCAGGACAGACCCAAGAGTTCTGCTGATTATTTTTCGTCTAATTCAGTTTTAATGACGGCAAACGGCAGCCTTTATTACCACTTCCACAGTGTATCTCTGTACTGTAGCACTGTCTCATATATAAGATGGATTACCTCCTTGGGTGGTTTCACATGGAGTTCCCTGGTGGCTACGATGTGACCTGTTTCTCAAGAACAAAAAGTTTTTCCAAGATGGTTAAAGTTTCTTCTGAGGAAAGATAAATTGCCCATTTAATCTATTTTGATATTGTTGATTTTAGTTATTTCATATGAAGCATCTAATTGTGTATCCTCCCACAAACATCCCCCGGTGACATAATGCGGTCGCTGCTTCTGTCGGATCCCATACATTAAGTGATTCAGCAGGGCTTTGAGTAAAGAAAAAGAATGAATTCCGTACTGCGCTTCACACACTTATTTTCCACTTATCACATTTGCAGTGTTTATTTCTGGCTCTTCATTCAGGGATCTAATTGAAAAATAAATTCATGTCTTCAGCCCTGCGTTCAGGTGTGATGTCAGTGAGATAATGGCTGTTGGTGTGGTGTGTGTCAAGTGGGTGAGTCATTGGCTTTGTGTAATTTGTAAACCTGTTCAAGTGGCATAAATTGATGCTTTTGTGTCACCAGGTTGCTGATACATGGCGCCCCCAGGGGGTGGACACTGCCAACCCTAGGAAAGTTGCTGGACTAAATACCTGACCTAAAACTGAACTGTCTCTCTAATGCAAAGGACTTTGGGACGTAGCCTAGAAAACCATACGTACTGTATTTATTTTCTGGCTTTTTTCATTTCATTAGGCTGGAGTTGGACAGGAGGAGGAATAGGTACAAGTGGATTTAATGTTGCATATAAGGACAATTAGCCAACTTTGGCCTGGTCTCAACGTTGATTCCTTGGACATTGCGTTACGGCCTACTCAGCTGTACTTCTTTCCACACAGAAACGTGGGATATTTATTTATATAAAAGAGGGCTATCAAACTAAATTCAGTCGTAATTAATCTCGACTAATTTACCCTGTGATTAATCTGATTTAAAATTATAACCATTAGACAACACTAATTAAAAATCGTAGCAGTCACTCTATCAGAGTCAACATTACAAGGAAGTTTGGTGGCGTTGCGGTTCATGGTGTGTGTGCGTGAGCTCCACCCAGGCTCTTATCCACCCACCAATTGAGCTGTTAGCTCTGTCTTGTTCTCTGATGATGTGGGGAGCACAGAGGGCAGTCATCAGATTTGTTCTGCATCAACCCCATAGGACAGAATGGGCGTGATGACACGGATGACCTTTGGATCATCCATCAGCGCTGACGTCTTCCTCGTAGAATAAAAAATGTTGCATTAGCATGAATGACCTTTTCTTATCACCACCGCCTGATTGCCCAGTGCTGCGTGGATCCGCCCCCAGCAGTTCTGTGAGAAGGCGAGCCGAGCCCCAAAAATTACAGGTTAGACACAACAAATTTAATTTGGCCACGAGGAAGGGAATTGTATTAAGATTTATTTTTTATTTTATTTTGTAGCGCTCTACCCCAGGAGGAATTATTTCACCGCGTGATGAAGTCCTGTGACCTTTACAGAGGTGTAGGTTGAAGCAAATGAAGCAGAAACCTCTTGTGTCAAAATGAGAAACTATGAAACTTTAACTTATTATTTGTCTTATATTGTGTGTTTTTCTTAATCAGGTTTCATTGTGGTGGTGAGAACAGCTAATGAAATCCTACTTTTTCTGACATTTTTAGCAGGACTTTTTCTGATAACACTAACTTTTATGCGAGTCAGGACAGATTGACAGTGAGTCAGTGTGTGCCTTGAAACTGAGGAAGCCTCACACATCTCAGCCATCATTAGCTTGGTGTGTTGCACCAGCGCTTCCTACTGGGACCTGTCAAAATGTCCTCCGTGGAAAACACTCCTTAACATTAGCACATTTTGCACCTACAGTGAACTGTGACTTTTTATTCAATGAATAA